AAATAAGTATTTGCATAATTCAATAGCTTTCATACCTTCCAAAATTACTATTAGAAAGATAGATACGAGTGTGTGCACACACTTGCACCCAGTTTCAGAGATTTTTTTTTTTTAGTTGTGATTATGCGTAGAAGCTCCTTTATGCTATGGTCTTTTCAGCCACATGGTTAAAAGGTAGTTACTACTAATCTAAACATCAACATATCTTAACACCTTGCAAAACAATTTGTCAGGAATATTGCAGGAAGAAAGGTAGCTCTGAAATCTACAGCTGTACTGTTTCAAACAGCGTGACTCCATCCCTTTGTGAGTTCCAAGCCTGGCCAAGAGCTGACTTTATGTAATGCTGAAAAAAGCAGTTTTCAGGAACTATTCAGATAGGAGAGGGTAAATCTAGACACCAGGATTCCTCTTAAAATATATTTATAGGAATTTCTGTATTCCACAAATGACCTGCTTTTGTGGCTGAAACTCCATACCGATTATTTATGTACTCTTTCTTGGTATTTACTCTTACAGGAGGCATAGTGTGACATAAGGGTTGTCAGGCATTTCTCTGGACTGAAACTTTCTTTGGGGCTATAAATGAAGGCAATGTAATATGTTTGCAGTAGACAGGAGTATGCAATAAACAAGAAGGAATGAAGGGGATATGTGTTTATTGGATGGTAAGATTTTTCAGGAGCACTGCTCTCAAACTGCATTTAAATGTCACCTTGTTGTCAGAGCTGAAGCTCTCTCCCTGCCCACCAGCGGCACGTGCCAAATCAGCTGATGGGCCGTGGATTGTTTTTGCAGGAACCGAGCCAGAGCTGGACTCCCCTGAGCACCAGGCAGAGGCACGTGCTGCTGTGGGACAGCACCGCATCGGAGGCAGAGCGTGGCTTGGGTACGCAGTGGGGCTAACAAGGAAGGGAGTGGGCCAGGAGTACCGTACGGATTTTTCCAAGTTTTTTTGCTCCTAGAATTGGCAAGACCCCAGGGTTGTCTTTTACCCAGGATACCCTTGTATTTCAGTAAACTGATTCAGGACTAATAATTCTTTCAGTAGCTGCGTGCTCAGTGAACTGCTTCTGCAACCAGTGAGAGCCCAAACAAAGTACAGCAGAGCTGGCTGATTAGGCATGTATGTACTTGCAAACTTGATCATCATTTGTAACTTGCTGTGGCTGTCTGATTCAAGATCCAGGACTGGAATTAAGCTAAACTATATATTGGGCCAGATCCTTACTTTACACAGCTGGGGACATCGGCACAGACTTGAGAGGTCTTGAGTGGAACCCGACATGATCCTGCCTAGACCTGCAACATTTCTGACAGAGTTTGCATTGGTGGTGGTCTCTGAGTGAAAGGAGTGGTGTGCACTTATCTTGGGACAGCTCGCACCTGGTATGGGTGTGGGGAGTTCGTGAGGGCAAAGTGACCATCCTCCCGTGGCCTGGGCTGGTCCTCGGGGAGCACAAAGGTGAATTTCTGCAGGAGAGTGGTAAAAAAAATAAAGAGCTCCATCCTGGCCAGCTGTTCCCCCAGGCAGGCACGGCGACCTGCAAGAGAGGGAGTAGAAAGCGTCCGTGAAAGAGGACGTTAAACCATGCTGGAATCGCCGCGGGAGGAGCAGATCACCTCTCCTGCTGTGCCTCTGACTTGCAGCTGGAGCCTCCCCTGAGATTTACCTGCTGAGAAAGGCAGGAAGGCCTCTGGTTTCACAAACTGCCCGTTCGCATCCAGGAAGTGTTCGGGGTAAAACTCGTTCGGCTTCTCCCAGACTGCCTCATCCTTCAGCACGGAAGACAAGTTGGTGATGATTGTCGTCCCCTGCGCCCCTCCACAAGAGGAAACAACTTATGTGAGAACAGCAGCATTATCTTGGCACAACGGATCAGCGCTGGTCCCTCTGGTCCGTGTCTCCCATCTAATAGCAACCATCATTCGGTGCTTCAGAAAAAGGCACCAATCTCCTCTTCTGTGTCTTATTTAAGCAGGGTGCTTTTCCAATGGCATATGGTGCCTGCCCTATGCTCTGAAGCATCTGAACTTTTGCAATTTGTATCCTTACAAAGGCCACTGCATGCAAATGCCGATTTCATGGTCACACAGTGGAAACAGCCTCTGCTTCTCAGATCCTCCTGGACTTGTTTTATAGCTGGAGAGAAAAAGCTGACTGACAGATTTCAAAGCCCAACTTTCACAGGGGCCATGGGAAATGGCAAAGCTTTCCTGTTTCACATGTCAACGTTCTAGGCTAGAGGAGATATTGCAAGGCTAAAAAAAAAAAAATCCCAGGCTTGCATTGCTACCACTGCTGCCAGGGCAGCTGCCTGTCACAATGGCAGTGGACTGAACGCCAGTGGCATTTGAATAGCTTCAGAGATTAGTTTTAACTACTACCATCTTAGAAAAGCCAGTAAGCTAGTGTCGTGTGCCTCCAGAGAGCATGTTAGGCTCCATTACTTTCTCCTTCCAACACAGGCAGGGCAGTGGATGTCACAGCTCATCGAGAAGAAAGCAAATGTTTGCACTGAGCTGCCACTGCAGTTGGGTTCCCACGTAACCAGCACAAACCTAGAGCACAAATGTGACCGTCTGCCTGGTCTTAGCATTTCAAAATGTCCTACTTCAGTGCTCACCAGCGACTGTGATTTGGGGCTGGCAGTGCAACGCTGCAGAGTTGCGTGGGGTCACCCACAACCCAGGCCTGGCGTCTGCACAGGGAGAGGATGCTGCATTGCCTATCTGGCCACGGTCACCTTGGGAATGAAGAAGCCTTGCAACTCGGTGTCCCGGTACGTCATGTGAGGTAGTCCAAGAGGAACAACATCCCCGTAGCGTTGCACTTCATGGATCACAGCATTAGTGTAGGGCATGCTCACTTGGTCCTCCATGGTGGGTGATCTCTCTCTGCCAATCACCTTATCAATCTCTGCTTGGACCTTACCTGAAAGCAGCATAGCTGAGGAATTAGAGTGCCCTTAGATAAGCAGAAGGGGCCGGTACAAGCTGTAGGAAAGCTGGTGGCATGAGATTGGTAGACAGGTAGGGTGAGAGCAGGACAAGCAATTAGAGAAAGGAACAGAAACTAGAGGGGAATGCATTTGTTTTCAGTTGCTCAGAGCCATCTGTGTAACTATTCTTTGTGCACAGTGTCTTTAATAAAGGTCTTGTCACTTGACGTGCTACCTTACCCCTCCTCTATGCAGCTGAAAGGGTACCTGGGCATGCAGCATTACAGAATAAAAACGGATTAGGACCTATTCTAAATACAGGAAGGTGGGTAGCCTGGCCACTGGAAGTCCCCAAGTAGCCTTCAAAATGAAGGAGAGAGTGAACTTGCCCTTCCAACTCCACTCTCTTCATCAGGGCTTCCCCACTGACACTGGGCCCTGCCAGAACAGCTATGTTTGGGACATGTTTCTCCTGGTTTCTGATAGACCAGCAATCGCCAAAGCTGTTCCTCATTGCAAAATCCCCAAATCACGGAGAACAGATGTTCAGCCTCCTCACAGAAAAATGAGGGTTGAAGGGAACACGCCACACCTCTGCCTGTCCTCTCACTTACCCTGTATTTCTGGGTGGAGAAGCATGTACAGAAATGCCCACTGGAGAGTGGTGGAGGTGGTCTCGGAACCAGCTGCAAACAAGTCTGCGGTCACCAGACGAAGGTTGTTGTAGTTGAAACCGCGCTCTTCAGCCTCCTTACCCTGTGGAGAGCAAACAAGTGGGTGATTGGAGCTGGGGTACTTGCTGGGCGAGAAGACCATTGTTCCAGAGAAGTGCTGGATCACTGAAGCACTAGATCAGTTTTTGCTGACCAAGAAGTTCACTGGGAGAGTAGAGCACAACACAGGCAACGGTCCGTGTATGACTGATGTACTTTGGTGACCCTGTTACCTCCTGTATTTGAAGGTCATCGGTCACCTCCTGTTTCCTGAGGGATGGACGCTAAACCTGCCTTCAGGACAGAAGTGAATGCCTTGTGCTCTCCACTCAAACAGACAGCAGGCCCCTGCCACTTGCTGTTACATCCTCCTTCAGAGGAGGTGGAACACAGGTATTCAGGTTTGATCAGATCATAAAACCCACGCGGTAGAGAGGAGGCTGCATTGATGTGGCAGATGCAAAATTAAGAGTATTTTGAGGGGGTTAGCTATAGCTATGCATTACAGATTCTCACTGCTTCTCCCCTGCTATTTTCTTACAATTAAAAAAAAAAAAGATCAGGGTATCATTGCTGCCTATTAAGTCTGCAACACCAATTTCAGCAAAACTGGTCTCTCATCCAAATACTAATTGAGCTCAAATTCGTTAGCATATGAGATATGACAAGCTCTCTGCTTGAGTTCATCTGCTTGTCTTTTCTAATCCTCTTTATACTTTCCTTTCCTAGGGACTAGCTTCTGTTAAGTTATTCTGTATATTTTGATGCTGTTGTAATATGGATAGCAATTAATAAGGCATTTAAGACTCAACTGTTATTCCAATAAAAGATCTCTGGCAAGGGAGCTACAGGGCTGATCTGACCAAAGTTAACCCAGTAGAGGGATTTTGTCCTGGTTTCGGCTGGGATAGAGTTAATTTCCTTCCTAGTAGCTGGTACAGTGCTGTGTTTTGGATTTAGTATGAGAACAATGTTGATAACACACCGATGTTTTAGTTGTTGCTAAGTAGTGCTTACGCCAGTCAAGGGCTTTTCAGCTCCCCGTGCTCTACCGACTGAGAAGGCTGGAGGGGCACAAGAAGCTGGGAGGGGGGCACAGCCGGGACACCTGATCCAAACTGGCCAAAGGGATATTCCATACCATGTGACGTCATGCTCAGTACATAAACTGGGGGGAGTTGGCCAGGGGGCAGCACTTGCTGCTCAGGGGTTGACTGGACGTCGGTTGGCAGGTGGTGAGCAGTTGCATCACCTCTGGTGGTATTTTCCTTCCTGGGTTTTGTTCCTCTCTCTCGTTTTACTTTCCATTACAATTTATTATTGTTGTTGTTATTTTTTATTATTTCAAGTATTAAACTGTTTTTATCTCAACCCACGAGTTTTCTTCCTTTTGTTAAAATCCGATTCTCTCCCCCAGCCCACGGGGGGGGGGGGGTGGGGAGGGTGAGCGAGCGGCTGTGTGGTGCTCGGTTGATGACTGGGGTTGAACCACAGACTGGCTTATCAGGGGACCTTAGTGAACAGAAGAGAGATGTGGCAAGAGACAACATGGGTCAGGCTCACATCCACCCCCAAACAGTACTGCTCAGTGCAGAGTAACGTGGGTCACGTTGCTCTACCCGTCCGAGCTGGGGGGCTAATGCATGGACTGGCGCTGCCCGGCGCCCGCCGCACGGCAGGGTTTGTTACGCAGAGCAGCAGTCCAGCCTGAGGACTCGGACGGCAGAAGCAACTCGCAGGCAGAATTTGCTACTATTGCTCATCCGGTGCTTGAAATTTAGTGAATCCACGTGCAGAAACATATGGTGGATGGATGGGCTGACGCAAGTACCTTTGATTTTATACTGACTTCATGCCTGACTGAATCAAAGGAAAGACTCCTTTTAATTTCAGTGAGGTTCAGATTTAGGCCTTCCTCTGATCTGTAGGGAACTAGTTCTTGGCAAGCAATTCAAAGACACGCATCCCGAAGGAGATGCCATCTTTCCAAGTCATGGCTTGGTTTAAAGGCAAGCTGCAGACCGGGCAATGGTACCAAAAAGCCACTCTGTTGCTGCTGTTTTGTAGCTGATTTCGAGACATCAGTCACCGAAGCACAGACAAACCCAGAATTTTGCATGTTGACTTGTCCCCTGGCACAAACTTAGAAATATTAGTGACTTCTCAATTCTTGCCTTTTAAACGCCTTCAAAATAGTGTAGGCTGGAAAAGAAGGCAGCTGCTGGACACTGACGGGAAACAAGGTAGCAAACAGGGACAAGAACATCAGCAGATAATATAGTCTCTTAAGACAATAAAGGAAGGCACGGCATGAAGAAGTTAACACCTTTCTTCTCAAGATACAACATGGAATTAAAAAGTAGGAAATTAGTTAGTAAGGGGTTTTATACAGTTTTACGAGGAAAGTCAGCTTCTATCAACAAGCTTGAACAGGCAGAGGAATTGCCCCTGGACCCTGAAGTTCTGCTGGTGTCACCCTACCTTCTCCATTTCCTTTAAAAACGTATCAGTGAAATCTCGGATGTAAGCAGGGTTCCAGGTCTCCATGTGCTTATCTATGAGCACATCTATGAAGTCCATGAATGCCTTTTGCCCTCGAAAGACTTTCTGTGGCACTCCAGGGATGCGCAACAAAATAGGCACCACGTTAAGAAGCTGGGATGTCAGAACCAGAGAGAGAGAGAGAGAGAGAGAAAGAGAAGATATTATGTGATGTAAAAAGAAAAATAATGAAAACAACGCTCTCAAGCCACAGAGGGCAGCTTCTTACAGAACATATTATGCTCTTGGTTTACCTGAGGCAGGAATCCAGTTTCTTCATTCAAGGAGTTTTCAAACAAATGTAACAGCTTCTTGAATGTCTCATCCCCGTAGTTGAAACGCTCTCCGTAGATGGTGGTGCAGATCACATTGCAGACTGCATTATTTACAAGAAAACGTAAATCGAAAGGACAACCTAAAAATGGAAATGGAGACCAAGCAATGAAGCTAAGCAACACCAAGCTGTTGGACCTCAGCTGTCAGCAACGAGAATATACAAATGCCTCTTTGATGCCTTCAAGAGAAAAAGCCCCCAAACCACTCAAAAAACAAATACCTCATTCTAGGAAGTGAAGATGATCTCACCTCTTACAATGATTTGGTTGATCCTTGATTAAAGGAGAAAACTCCCAAGAAAAGCTGAGTCGCAGGGTTGTTCTGTGACTTGACAGCTAACACTTTGCTTTGTGTCTAGATGACAGGTGATGTGCTGTGAAAACTCTCAGCAGCACTTTTATTGCATGTAACAATATCAATATGTTCCACTAAACTTCATAAAGGTAATAGTTACCCAGCTCTGGGAATAATTATATTTTACCTCTTTATTTCTGTTTATTTCCTATTTGTTTCCTGTTTCAAATGGATTAGCATTACAGTAGCCACACTGTAAAGTAGAAGTGGCTTCAAGGTAGAGCAGGGTCACTCATGCGTACAGACTAGAAACGCTGCATTTGCTTAGGAAGAGAGCACTGCATGCAGACAAATGCGGCTGTAGTATTACTTCTCTCTCTCTGCATCACTGTATTGCCTTTTTCTATGATTTCCCCATCCTTCTGGAGGTGACAAACCTTCTTCAGAATTGACTGCAGAGCACAGAAATCCCGCTTCCTCCGTCACTCGCTCCTCCAAGGATTTCTTTCCCATCCCAAAGTTCCTCAAGGTAGAGAGCGTGAATTTCCTTAGCTCCTTCCAGATGTGCCCGTATCTTGCTATAACAATCCCTGGAATTATGGATGAGCAAGAAATGTCAGGAGCTCTGACCTGTACATCAATCAAGGTTCGCTAGAGAATAGCAAATGTGAGTTTGGAGGTACAGGTCTATGTGGATAGATGAAAGAGTCTGGTCTTGTACAGCTTGTTCATACAGCAATTCTAAAAACGGATTACTGCACCTTCTACTGCATGTGCATGGCTAGCGAAGGTGGAGGGGGGATTCAATGAGAGCAACAAGTGCTGCTAAGGATAAAGGAATCACGCCCCCAAACCATTCAGCATTGCACCCTCAGCTTGTGTGAACCGAGTACAGCTTGTGCCACCGCACAGGCGCTGAGGAGGAGAGATGTGGGCTGGATGCTGGATAATACTCTCTCTTGGAAGAAAGTTACTGTTTTCTTTGTGACGACAATGACGTGCACATAGCGTGTGAGCATAAGCGCTAACCACTGGGTGTCGGGAGCTACCAGCTCCAACGCTGGCAGGAAAGTTGTACCACTGATAGTGTCCTAACACTGCTGAAGAGGTGTGTGCTAGCACCTGGAGCTGTACTACAGCCACTAAGGGGAGCCCCCTTTTCATCAAATCTGAATTTGTCACCACGAAAGGGTGGCAGACATACAAGGAGATTGACCAGAGGGACATGAGGAGGTGGCACTGTACTGAGAAAATCTTCCATCTACCCAGTCCTCCTTATGCTAGTGCCAGCAGGGAATGTCCATTTCCAAGGGACTTGCCTTCAGATTTATTTCCATAGCCCAGATGTTCATATACTGGAAAGTATGGCCGGTCAGCAAAGTCCTCCGATCTGTGAACCAGGGCTTCCTTCACTGTTTTATACCCGTTCAGTACTACCAGGTTGGTCCAGCAGTTCTGGAGATTGAAGACGTTTCCAAACTTCTTGTGAAGCTGCCAAAATAAAAAAGCACGTCCCTGAAAATGAGCTGAATGTAACATCAATAATATCACCATATCCTTCCTTAGGCCCTTTACTATTTAGTGATTTTTGAGGTGCTTTTACTAGGAGACCTTCCGCTGATCTTTGACCTTTGTCTTTGCAGTGCAACAGCTCAGAGCGGTGCCAAACAGCAGCTGAAGCAGGGATCAATGCTCTGTGAGTGGAAAGATTTAGATACACCTATCCTGGCCAAACTGTTGCCATGACCATTGTGCAAGTATTTTGGATTTTGTCTGACAACACAAGGTCAAGGATCTTTTGGGGGATTTTCAAAGGCTGCATGCTCAGCAATGGATTATTTCCTAATACTTGTATTTATTTTGATCTGAAAGACTAAGCAAGTTTTGAGTTAGTCTACTTCTGCTAAAAGGAAATATTGATGATAAGGTGATACGTAATTTTTTTTTTAATATGCATTTGTTCCTAAAGTTCTACCCAGAGCCCAGTTCCCAGAAACATGGTTGGAAGAGGCAATTTCACACTGGAGTTTCAGGTCAACTTTCTCCCTAAAAGGAGCGTACACATCTAGTAAAACTGGTAACTGGCACACACCCTACATTTGTTGTGATCTATAAGAGACATAGAATCATAGAATCATTAAGGTTGGAAGAGACCTCCAAGATCATCGAGTCCAACCGTCAACCCAACACCACCATGCCCACTAAACCATGTCCCTAAGCGCCTCATCTACACGTCTTTTAAATACTTCCAGGGATGGTGACTCAACCACTTCCCTGGGCAGCCTGTTCCAATCTTCAACCATTCTTCCAGTAAAGACATTTTTCCTCACGTCCAATCTAAACCTCGTAGTTTTGGGGAGAACTTTTTGTGTTCTAGTGTAATACAGCCACTTTGAAGCATGGTCAGTATTGGATAAATAAAATATCTCTCTCTCTCTCTCTCTCTCTCTCTCTCTCTCTCTCTCTCTCTCTCTCTCTCTCTCTCTCTCTCTCTCTCTCTCTCTCTCTCTCTCTCTCTCTCTCTCTCTCTCTCTCTCTCTCTCTCTCTCTCTCTCTCTCTCTCTCTCTCTCTCTCTCTCTCTCTCTCTCTCTCTCTCTCTCTCTCTCTCTCTCTCTCTCTCTCACACACACACACACACACATCCTTTCTAGAACTTCTTGGAAGTCCATGGCGCAACGTTCAGTTGCCTTTCTCAGTCATTTATGTAGCTAAAGGGAAGTCTCGGCCAGAGTTGTCAGCTCGCTACCTAATTCGTCATATGTTCACTGAAGATGTGCTGGTAAAAAGCAATGTATATGGTAATCTTGAACGTGGCATGAGCCCACTGGACTGCAATAGAATTAATGCTCTCAGAGGTAAGTAAGAAAATATCTGTTCAAATGATAATGTGGGGAAACTAACAAGAGTGATTAACTTTGTATCCTATGAACAAACCATGGAGCTTCAGAAATAAGTCTGAAACTATTCTGACAGGTATTAGTGCAAGCAGTGGAACAAGTTGAGAGAAAGTAGATGAAGTTATACTTACACAACTCAAGGAAGTCTCCAGATCACAAACCTGGTTCGGTTCGTATGAGGAAACTCAGTCTCCGTGGCATCTGCTTGAAAGGGCAACACAGTGGGAGATGGAAGCCATCCCAGAGGATTCTGGAGGGTGTCAGGGATAACTTCTTGATACAGGGGCTAGGTAGGCCAACCAGAAGTAATGCACAGCAGGTTGTGGCGCTCTTCACAGAAATGGTTGGAGTGTGCTAATCGGTGGCAGTATTGACTGTAGAGACTATGAAATAACGGACCTCAAGATCTTGAGTAGAGTCAAAAAGGTCAGAGTACAGACCCTGTAGCTTAGGAGAGCAGTCTTTAGCTTATTCAGGAAACTCATAGGTGGGAGCTTGTGAGAGCTCTGAAGAGGAGAGAAGCTCAGGAAAGTTGACAGGTCTTTAAAGACAGCATTCTGCAAGCACAAGAGAGTCCATCCTGATGCTTAGGAGAACTGGTAGAGTTATGGGGAGACAAGTTTAACCCCAGTTGGCAACTGAGCACCACACAGCCGCTCGCTCACCCTCCCCCCAGTGGGATGGGGGAGAGAATCGGAAGGGTAAAAGTGAGAAAACTCGTGGGTTGAGATAAAAACAGTTTAATAGGTAGAGCAACAGTCACGCACGCAAGCAAAGCAAAACAAGGAATTCATTCCCTACCTTCCCATCGGCAGGCAGATGTTCAGCTGTCTCCAGGAAAGCAGGGCTCCCTCACGCGTAACGGTGACTTGGGAAGACAAACAGCACCACTCCAAACATTCCCCCCTTCCTTCTTCTTCCCCCAGCTTTTATATACTGAGCATGATGTCACATGGTATGGAATGTCACATGGTATGGGATATCCCATTGGCCAGTTTGGGTCAGCTGTCCTGGCTGTGCCCCCTCCCAGCTTCTTGTGTTCCTCCAGCCTTCTCAGTTGGTAAGCACTACTTAGCAACAACTAAAAACATGGGTGTGTTATCAACATTGTTCTCATACTAAATCCAAAACACAGCACTGTGCCAGCTAATAGGAAGGAAATTAACTCTATCCCTGCCGAAACCAGGACAACTCACCATGGGAGCTTGCCATGGAGCTAAGTCTCCTCCAGGTAGACAAGCCCTTTGACCAGACATAAGACTCCTGGGAAGGCAGGTCGAAGCTCCCCTGCTAGTCAGTAACACTGAACAAAGCGCTCGGGAGCGTGTTGTTGGAAGACAGTGCAATAGTAGCAATGCCCCACAGACTGTGCTCTGTTTTCTTTTTCTTTCTTCTTTTTTTTTTTTTTTTTTGTTAAAAAGCTAAGTGTCTTCATTTCTGCACTGTAGCAATGCAAGGAATTGAAGTACTTAAGACTGTATTTGCAGTGGGGTTGGAAAGGGAATTAGCACTTCACTGGCACTAGAAATACATCATTAAAAGCGATTACTGGTCAAGATTGTGGTTAGCATGAGCCTGATGTGATGTGATTTAAAAATGGTAATCTTTTGGACTATATGCAAGCAAATAATACAAATGCTATATTTAGTTTCTCCATTTGGCGGATTTTGGACAGACAGCTGAACAGTGCTCTCCTAGAGAAAAAGCCTTTAGAATTTGCAAACTGAAGCCCAAAACCCCTGTGGTTTATCTGCTGCAAGCTGTGCTGTGCTTTTCCTTTGAGAAGAGCTAAGCCCTGACTTTGAATAGGAACGCTACCGAGATTTTGGGCACTGCTGCTGGGGCAAATCCCGCAAGCTGATCTCTTTCACTGAGACTGTCACATGCCTGTAGGCGTGCTTAAGTAACTTGCAGAGAAGTCTGCCATTCCTGCAGCCACATCCCCAGCCCACAGATATTTGCTTTTCCTCCCTTGTTTGTACATCTCCCTGTTCCCTTGCCCCGACGCCTGCCCACATGTTAAGTTGGTGGCCCGCTCTACAGCAGAGCAAGCATCACCCATCGTTGGGGGCACAACAAGATCTCCCACTGAGATCGGGAGATGGAGGCTGGCAAGTGTCGGTGTGTGTTTATCTATTTATCCATATGGGCCAAGTCAGTGTCCTTAGGCAGTGACGTGTTTTGTCCTGGACTTTGGAGAGGGCATTGCCCTTCGGCTTTGTGCAAGGGTTGATCGTGCCAGGGCGTCCCCACCCCTCCTGGGCCCACGGTCGTGTGAGGGACGCTTCATCGCGGGGGCCAGCACTCACCTGGTTAAAGGAGAGGTGGGGGTTTCGGAAATCAATGTACAGCATGGTCCCAATGAACGGCAGTGACACTGGGCCCGGGGGGTAACGGCTCCACTTCTTCCTGCGCTTCATGAAGTCAAGAAGTAAAGTAAAGACTGTAAGAAAAACTCCCAGTATGGAGATGTTGCTCCAGCAGGATGACAGCTGGGACCACAGCCACAGGAGCAATGCCATTTCGTAGCCTGCCTGCTCCTTGGTCTTCCTCTTTTGACCCAAGACTGTTTCTGCCTCCTTTTGCCCTCCCCTCCCCTCCCCTCCCCTCCCCT